TTTAACTTGCACAGTTCTTTGTGAATCATTGTTTTGTGAAGGAGATAAAGACGAAATCCCATGAATAAAATATTGTTGACAAAAAAAATCTGTATTTTGTGCTATATTCAGGAATAGATTGAAACTAGATCGCTAAATAATTCCATTATCCAAAATTCTGGTCCAAAGCATGACAGAATCGGAAATAATAACAGTATAGTAGTGGACTCGCCAAACGAGAAGTGCCATCAGGTGTTTGGAGAAGAATATATATGTAAGGTCTCTATGTATATTGTCTCCACTTCAGGTCATATAGTTTAGTTTTGTCGAGTCGGTTCTTTTCATAGTCATTTTTTATACAAAAATTTATATTTTTTAATGAAGAAATATTAAAACAGAACCTGAGACATGTTGTTACTACTAGATTGAAACTCCATTTCATTTCATTGATAGACCAATAAGTTAAAGAGCATTAAGATATAAGACAGTACAGTAGGATGTACAACTTTAATCCAATTTTATTAGCCAAATTTAATCAAAATGCTAAAAGTTACGTAAAACTTCAATTAAATAGACGAAGAATATATTAATTTGAAGTTGAGTTGATGAGTATTCCTGGAGGATTGTTCTACAGACCTAGTAGATATCATACTATTACAATGATTGACAGCTAGTGACTGGAGGCACGAGATCACTAGAATCTTAATAACATAAATAGTTAGTCCGAAATATCTGATTATACACAGACATAGAATGATATATCTGTGTGTTTTAATAAACTCTGAATCAGGTAAAATTCTGAGGAGATCAAGGTTGTTTCATTACCAGCCCAACAGACGTCTATAGTTTTGGGATTATTTCCCACCTTGATACAAATTCTGTAAAACCAAATTCGATACGTACAGAAAAGTTCAACTTTATGGCTTTAAAAGGGAAAATTTTCTCTGTGACTTTTATTATTTATCATGACTGAAACAGAGTTCACAAAACCTCTTATTTCAACTGAAAGAAACTATTTATATTCCATGTTAATCGTTAAAACAACAAGACCTACCTGTCCACAGATTGAACTCTTCTACTATTTCTGTATCTTGATGGGTAAGGGTTAAGGTGTAAGATTTGAAATTATCGGAACCATGTAAACTCATACAGAATTTCTCTGTGGAACCAGCAGGTAAAACAACTGGGAATGTCAGTAAATATCCCCTGAAAATACAGAAAATATTCTATTATTATCAACGATATCGAACACAGAAAATATTCTATTATTATCAACGATATCGTACACAGAAAATATTCTATTATTATCAACGATATCGAACACAGAAAATATTCTATTATTATCAACGATATCGTACACAGAAAATATTCTATTATTATCAACGATATCGTACACAGAAAATATTCTATTGTTATCAACGATATCGTACACAGAAAATATTCTATTATTATCAACGATATCGAACACAGAAAATATTCATGATGGGTGTGAGGGGGTGTGCGAGGGATAAGTAATGAATAATGATCTGAATAGAGAATTTGAAATAAAAAATGAATATGATTGGAATAGGCTACTGAATAATAATGATTTGAATAATGAATATAAAATGAATACTAATTCGAATTATGGATATAAAAGGAGTGATGAATACGATTTGAATGATGGGTATGGAATGGATAATGACTTTGAATGATTAATAATGATAATGATTAATGAATAATGAATATTACTTGAATACTGAATAATGATTGAATAGTGGATATGAAACAAGTTTAGTTAATATTTTAGGTGTACTGTCTGTTGACGTTCGGAAATAAATGTCGGTTTTTGTCTTTAAAATACGTTAAAAAAAAACACCAGTTCTGTTGAATTAAAATCATCAGTTTCTAGAAAATGATATATAAAGTCTAGAGAACAATACAATGTATTCTCAACCAGTAATAAGGTAATTTCTCGCTCTACAAATTATAAATTAAACAAGAAAGGCGACTGACAGTGTAAATGATGGTATTTTTTTCTCCGATTGAATTCTGTCAATGGAGTCGCTCGGGGATTTAAATTTTACATTTTTCACATTTCAAACATCGTCTCACACAAGTGTTTAAGCTGATGAGACAAGATTATCAGGTCTTCTGAAATCTCAGAATTAGTTCCTGTTAGTTCCTGATATCCAGTACGTAATTTAAAAGAAATGTAAGATCGTCGGCAAGTGTGTAATACAGACGTTCTTAAGAGTTTAGGTCTTGTTTCAACTAAGCTCATTACAATTAGATCTATTTTTTTTACAGTGCAGAAGAAAATGTCAAAAACGAATATAGCTTTGAATAAATTTCGACATCACAGATTTTAACGCTAAAAATATGTTGCCCCTTTGTGTAAAGCGCCATTCGTCTTTTTCTAAAATAACTTAGTCATGGAGTTTTACTCGGTGTTTTTTTTTAGGGGGGGGGGAGGGGACTACAGGTTATATACCTCCTCAAAATCAAATGAGTACGACGTAAAACTCCATTCATTTTTTAATCCTAAGAAATGTCAAAACCTAACAAAACATACTGTCTTCAGACTTACTCTTCCACTCATGTTATCGTTATTTTGTTTCAGTTATAACATCATTATTAGGATATTGGCCTTGTACATGGGAGTAGACTTTCATTATGAGGATTTACGGAATGAAGTAACTAAACACTAAACTAAACAGCCGTTCTGCTGTCAGTAATGCAATCAAAAAACCCACGGTACTTATAATCCAAACCGTAAAACAAAACCCGAAATGCAAAATAAGAGTTTGAGTAAGTATTTTATTATTATAAGTGATATCAGGTGTCTAGAAGAGTAAGAATACTTCACTGTTTCTCAACATTATACAAAATAGAAAGTTAAAACTAACAACTTGGTGACAGAACATTTGTAAATAATATCTGTAATCCGTGTATTAGGTTTGAAACCAGAATAACAGACAATACTGAATACTGACCTTTCTTATACTCGTAATGTTTTAATATTTTATAACATTTAATGTGTTCTAGTGTCTCTACTTAACAAGTCGAAATACTCCGGCATGGGAACACTAGACTTCGTTTCCTATAACATATATATCATTCTTTCATAGAGTGGTCCACTGTTGTACTATTGTCACTACATAACAAGTCGAAATACTCCGGCATGGGAACACTAGACTTCGTTTCCTATAACATATATATCATTCTTTCATAGAGTGGTCCACTGTTGTACTATTGTCTCTACTTAACAAGTCGAAATACTCCGGCATGGGAACACTAGACTTCGTTTCCTATAACATATATATCATTATTTTATAGAGTGGTCCACTGTTGTACTATTGTCTCTACTTAACAAGTCGAAATACTCCGGCATGGGAACACTAGACTTCGTTTCCTATAACATATATATCATTCTTTCATAGAGTGGTCCACTGTTGTACTATTGTCACTACATAACAAGTCGAAATACTCCGGCATGGGAACACTAGACTTCGTTTCCTATAACATATATATCATTCTTTCATAGAGTGGTCCACTGTTGTACTATTGTCACTACATAACAAGTCGAAATACTCCGGCATGGGAACACTAGACTTCGTTTCCTATAACATATATATCATTCTTTCATAGAGTGGTCCACTGTTGTACTATTGTCATTTTAAAAAGACACCAGACATCACCTCACTCTGGGTTATATTCTTTATGGTCTACTGTTGTACTATATAGAAACTCCTGACATCACTAATGGTTTTCGTTTAAGACCTACTTCTATGGTAAAGATGTATGTAGCTATCTATAATAATCTATAGGTAAGAAAGTATATAAATATATGAACAGTGACCCCCCCCCCCCCCTCCCCCCTCAACTAAATACGTCACTGTATAAGATGAATACACTCTATAGATATTAGAAAGAGAATTGAGAGATAATAAAACTGGCGTCATATCAATATTTGATATCATTACAAACTCTCCTGGTTTTCTTTCTCTCGTCTCTATCTCTATCTCTCCCGCCGAGTTTAAATTGTTTTTAAAACACACATTAAGGAGTTGTTTAATGAGAATTCATAGTTTAAAATCGGGTAGTGTCTGATCAAAAATTTATAACTTCTTCAAATTCATAGAAAACCATTAGCTAACATTCTCTGTTTCTAGAAACTTGGATTTCAACATGAATAATTAGCCAATGGATGTTCAAGATTTTAAATATTTCACATGTTTCATTTATTGAAGTTAGGGTTTTTGACCATGTCACAACCGACAGGGGTTTATCTAGAAAATGTATGAGAACGGACAAAAAAGTAGCCATGGCCCTCATCTAAATACGCTACTGGCAACCGGTATCCTTTTTTTTCAAGATGGATGAAAGTCATATTCTCGAACACCTTGCTTTATCATTCCTTTTCATCGAGGATGAACTCCTTTCATGTCTTTTTCATTGTATTTGCGGATCTGGTTTCAATGCTGGATTTCCATGTCGAACTATCTAACTCATTGAATTTGAAGGTTTTTGAATCACGACTTTAAGATTAAAAAGATAAATTTCGGTTTCTTACTTATAAAACAAAACTTCCCGAATAAAGTTTTTACCATATCCTGAAATTCCGGTATTGCCTGAAGCCGTATTGTATGTTTTTAATGAATAATGTTTTATATTGAAATAGATATAAGTTGTTTCCTACTCGAGTTTCATAACGCCACCAGGTGTATCAGGTCGCATCTCTAATAGGTTAGGGTTATTATTATCGTATATCTTGTATTACTGGAAAGATGAATATCCTTTCCTTCCGTACCTGAAGCTGTTGAGTGGGAGACTCGAGCTCAATTTCAGATAGATACTGGTTGGGGGGATTGACTTGATACAAAGCTTTTAGTCGTTCTGATGGGACATTAACCGAGGCCCCGTGTGCTATAGAATGGGTATGTAAAACATTGCTCGCAATTGGACATCGAAAAAAATTAAGTGCAGAAAGTATGACGTAACACTACATTCATTTCTTCTCCGTTTTTCAAATTTTTTAATAGGACTTTCCGTCCGCTGATTTCTTACATCAAAGTTTGGCACCATCATATCGGAGGCAGTGTAGCTGTATCCTGGTGAGACTTCTATTGGGCAAATCTGGGATATCTCGGACGAGATAAACTCTCGGGAAACGTTTAATTTCAGCAACGATTGCACTGATGGCCAACTCCCTTATCTTATATTTTCAATCAGACAGGTAACAATGAGGTAAACTGGCTCTAGAATGTCAGACGACTCGAAAACTAAATTTTACAGATCCTGCCAAATAAAAGTCATGTGATCTGTTTAGTTTCAGTAAAGATGATACTCTGGGGTCGGACAACTCGAGCTCTAGACTAAACTGACAATATCTCTGGAGAAATCAGTAGATTAAACTATTTAATATTAAAACAGACATCAACAGCATTAGTCTACTATCAACTGTCAATCAAACCATTTCTCTAGTACTTCTCATTACAATATCAAACACTTCTCACGGCATGGGGTTCGACTTCAATTGAATAAAATCGAATGTACATCACATTCTTAGGTAATTCTTCATATTCCATATTTAGGAAATAATTCACATTCAGGGGAGATAATTCACATTCAGGGGAAATAATTCACATTCAGGGGGGATAATTCACATTCAGGGCAAGTAAATATATTCAGGGGAGATAATTCACATTCAGGGGAAATAATTCACATTCGGGGCAAGTAAATATATTCAGGGGAGATAATTCAACAACCCACAAAGAAAACCATTTTAACAACAAACTGGACACACCGGAACATTGGGTAGTTTAAACCAACCGTTGTAATTAGTAGATATATAAATTATAGTGTATGAGATGAAAGATCCTCGGATGTATTAACTCCTCAAGGCGAGTCAAGGGGGAGATAAATCGACACTGAGTCCCCCATTCAGACCGCTTCAAGTTGTCTAGTATCTAGATAAACACTCTTAAGTTAGTAAACCTACCTCTACTTCCCGGGATCAACTATGGGGATGTTTACTCTAGAATACTGTCTAGAATAAAGTCAGCACGAATAATCAGAAAAAAACTACAGTTGACAGAGAAAACAAACAAGTGTGAGTGAGGAGTGAAACAGAGTGAGGGTACCAGGGGACGTTTTGTCCATAGATTCTCAATTCTTATTAATGTTATAAATTCATTCTATGGTTTTCTATTATTGTTAATAGAGGAAGATATCATTGTTTAATTAACTTCATTTGCTTTCTTTTCATTTACAATTTTAATTCTTCTTTTAGATTTAATATATATATTTCAAATTATATCAAATAAATCGGCACATTCTCTCCTTTTTTATTTCTTAGGTTCATCCTATCTGAAGTTTGATTTCAACCCTGGCGAGTCATTTCCTTTCAGTTCTTTTATAAACTGTAAAACCTCTAGCTAACTAAATTATTAAAGAAATTGTAGGCAGACGGAAAGGCTGCAACGTATTAATTAGTGTATGATGAAACAGTTGGCCTCAAAATCCATTTCATTTTTTCCCCAATTGGTCCAATATTAAACTGAGTGTCGGGATTAACCACACTCGGTCGATTCACGGAAACAATTACCTCTATTCCAACCTCTGATAGCTATTTTGAAAGTTGTTGGAAAGGAGGTAGATATAAGCTGAATAATGACTGCTATTCAATACAATGATATATGGAAACGCGCATTAGGAACTTTCACGGTTGACTGTTAAAAAAATTGAAACTAGAATGGCAGAATATATCGGATTATTTACGGTGGGACAGCAACAGATTTCAATCTCTTTAACAACTCAGCCTCAGTCTCAAACCTTCTGGTGTGTAATCTCTAGAACATCATTTCTCACTTTCAACTTTATTTCATCTCGACTTGTCTTCAACTGCGATTTCTTTTATATACTTTATAGCCTTAATACCGAGTTTTAAACTTAGCTTAATGTCTTTTATCAAGTGTTTCTTAACCTCTTTATTTCTTCATCAAATCAATATGATAGTAATAATAATATACACCAACACAGTGGTTGATTAGCTATATTAGCTAAACCTCTTTATTTCTTCATCAAATCAATATGATAGTAATAATAATATACACCAACACAGTGGTTGATTAGCTATATTAGCTAAACCTCTTTATTTCTTCATCAAATTAATATGATAGTAATAATAATATACACCAACACAGTGGTTGATTAGCTATATTAGCTAAACCTCTTTATTTCTTCATCAAATCCATATGATAGTAATAGTAATATACACCAACACAGTGGTTGATTAGCTATATTAGCTAAACCTCTTTATTTCTTCATCAGATCAATATGATAGTAATAGTAATATACACCAACACAGTGGTTGATTAGCTATATTAGCGTGATCAATTCCACGATAGCAATGCTGATATACGACAATACAATGGCTATTTATGTTAGCAATTATCTTCAAATCAAGGCAAGCAATAGTAATATACGACAATACGTTGGTTATATTTTCGATATCAGCTAATCACACCGTTTCAATCTGAGGTAGATAATCACAATGAGAGGTAGTATTAGGTGTTTAAAAGTTGAACTACCGACATATTAGAATTATACAGTCAAGTCAGATCGCGATATACCAATGAAGTGTAAATATCTGAGACAGGAACCTGACCTGTTAACTCAAGAGATTTGTCAAAACAATAAAATATAGAACGGAAATTCCTGAAGTCAAGTTCAGTAGACAGATTGATGGTTTAGTCTACAATATCGCCTGTCCATTGTCACTACGTTAAACTACAGTACCATTGTCCTTAACCAGCAACCACACATAGACAGCACCACATACCAAACATCACACATAGACAGTACCATACCAAACATCACACATAGACAGTACCATACTAAACATCACACATAGACAGCACCATACCAAACATCACACATAGACAGCACCATACCAAAAATCACACATAGACAGTACCATACCAAAAATCACACATAGACAGCACCATACCAAACATCACACATAGACAGTACCATACTAAACATCACACAAAGACAGCACCATACCAAAAATCACACATAGACAGTACCATACTAAACATCACACATAGACAGCACCATACCAAAAATCACACATAGACAGTACCATACCAAACATCACACATAGACAGCACCACATACCAAACATCACACAAAGACAGTACCATACCAAACATCACACATAGACAGCACCATACCAAAAATCACACATAGACAGTACCATACTAAACATCACACATAGACAGTACCATACTAAACATCACACATAGACAGCACCATACCAAACATCACACATAGACAGAAATCACGCATAGACAGCACCATACCAAACATCACACATAGACAGCACCATACTAAACATCACACAAAGACAGTACCATACCAAACATCACACATAGACAGCAACATACCAAACATCACACATAGACAGTACCATACCAAACATCACATATAGACAGCACCATACCAAACATCACACATAGACAGCACCATACCAAAAATCACACATAGACAGTACCATACCAAACATCACACATAGACAGCACCATACCAAACATCGCACATAGACAGTACCATACCAAACATCACACATAGACGGCACCATACCAAAAAACACACATAGACAGCAACATACCAAACATCACACATAGACAGCACCATACCAAACATCACACATAGACAGCACCATACCAAACATCACTCTTGATCTAGTAACTAGAATCAAATCAAGTTTAGGCTTCTATACGAAAAGTAAGAACGACAAAAATCGGAACCTAAAAACAAAACCCCGAAATCATGAAATATAGGTAGCAGCTAATGAATTTTTCATTTTTCACCAGAACATTAGCATGCTTAAGTCTGGGACAAAAATCGATTCATTTGTGAACGCCTATATAATGTTAGACCAAGGGATGTGGGTTCTCATTTGACTAGCGCAAGCTTTTTTAGGAACTTATCCTGAAACCTAATACTAGTGGTGGGGATGTCCCTATAGCAACATCATTATTAACAGAACATTGATTATATAAACAGGTGACATCTATTGTTTTATTCAGAATTTGTCTTGTGATGAACAGGAACCATTTAGAACTGTTGGAATCGTAAACAGTGGTATTAAGTTCCATCAACGAAATAGACAACCATCTCTCGAGGATAATATAACATCTCATAACGGAAACCTACCAGCGATATATCTCAAGATAATGGCGGTGAATTACACAGTAAACCATCGTTACTCGTTAAACTTGACATCTCAATAGCTTTTATATCAAATCTTTAACTGACCGCTTACAGTATTTATTCTCACTTACGTCAAGTAACGTCCGGTAACGTCTAGTAATAGCGGTAACGTAGATCAGGTCTCAATATGTCGTGGATCAGATACCGATATCTTTGACGATGTCAATAACCCTCTGCTATTATCTGGTACTCCTGCCTACAACAGTGCGCAATGGAGGAAATTTGGGAGAATTAGCCAAATGCTTTTTGATGTCCAACTGACCAGATATCTTCATCATGCATAATGGAAGGACTAGGCGCTAATTGTAATAAATCGGCTTATCCGATCTGGAAACAAGAGTTGAAAATCAAAAGGTTTCATCGATCAATGCTGGTTTTGAACCCTGGATCCCCGGTAAGCGAGCAGAGGTTTAAACTCTAAACCCTGTATTTTTGTAATGGAATCAAACCAATGAGGTTAAAAATCAATCTCTGCTTGTTTCCTGAACCAGTGCTGTTATATCTAAGGTAGTGTAAGTAGGATTTCCATATTTTTTTACATGTATCGATGCCATTATGGCTTTTATTTTATTTATTTATTTTTTTACACCATTCAACTTTTCAGTCAGACGTACGTATGTTTATATCACTAAGGTCCTTTGACTAATAAGTATTAGTCAGATTAGTGTTATAACATGAAAATAGTTCTATAACATCAAAATAGTCTTATGACGTGAAAATAATCCCATAATAAACGTCAAAATAGTTTTGTTATGTCAAAATAGTCTTGGTATGTCAAAATAGTCTTGTTATGTCAAAATAGTCTTGTTATGTCAAAATAGTCTTGTTATGTCAAAATAGATTTATATTGTCAAAATAGTCTTGTTATGTCAAGATAGTCTTATGTCAAAATAGATTTATATTGTCAAAATAGTTTTATAACAGTATGGAGAGGACAACTGTGGGGGCTGAAATTTAAAATACGGTAACTCTGTTGAGGCGTTATGGTCACACGCCTATTATGAAGCATCTGTAGAACATTTTCGAAAAATTGAATTAGTTAAGTTTGTGTATTCTGACGTATATTTTGGGAAAGTGCATACACAAATCATATTATTGAATTTGTAAGAAATAAAGTGAGGGTTTAATTTGGGGGTACAAACCATTTTTCTCTGGGACAAATACTTCCCCTGCCCTGTTCGCCCACCGACTCTGCTACTGATAGCTCGGGAGATATTAGTTGGTAATACTAGTCATATATCACGGAAATTGTTCACTATAAAAACGGAAATTCTATTGTCTCGATCTATAATTTCAATAATCATATAAGAAATAAATATAATTATAATTCTGAATAGTGAAACACAGTTATTACTCGGTACTGTCAGGTTAGTTGACGATTATAAACGTTTCATCGCATCTGTCGCAGTCGATAATAGTGTTACACTTCAATTGTGAAAATGTACGACTAAAGCCAATGAGATCAACTGATAGGATGGTAACAGATTATTTTTACCTAGGCAGAGGAGAAGAACTGAGAGAAGAACTGAGAGAAGAACAGGAGAAGAACTGGAGAAGAACTGGAGAAGAACAGGAGAAGAACTGGAGAAGAACTGGAGAAGGAATACAAAGAAATCGGTAGACAGAACCAAAAAAAAAAGATATTTAATCACCCATCTTCAATCAGAAATGTGTATCCCGTTGCTAGATGCCCCCCCCCCCCCCTATCC